GGGCCGGAGGGCGGTCGGCGGGTTGGGGCCCGAGCCAGGCGGACCCCGCGTAGCTGCCCGCGGCACCTCTGGCGTTGTAAAGACCTGCAAGCTTTTAAGGTCCTGGGATCCCTCGCTTTCTTCTGTTTGGACCTGCTGCAGGCAAACTCTGAGGTAGCGGTAGGAAAGCTAAACCCTTGCCTGGATTGGGGGATCTCTTCGAAAGGGTGTTCTTCCCGCATACGTGCTCTGTGCCCTCTTTACAGCGAGTCTTGGAATTACTCAGAGGATCACATAGCAGTCTACTAGGGACAGCTTTTCAGTTCCTTGTGTTGGGATGGTGCAGACAGTGAATGCTTTTAGTTCCCTAAAATATAGATGTTGAATACCAAGGCCTGCCTCAGGTGTTTTTCCTGGCACATGCAATATGCGAAAGCAAATGGCTTATGTCTGTCTCTAATATTTAATTCTTTGTTGGTTAGCTGGCGAAGAAATACCACCCTGATACGAATAAGGATGACCCCAAAGCTAAAGAGAAGTTCTCTCAGCTGGCAGAGGCCTATGAGGTAATATACAGGGCTTATCATTGGGAAAAGGAGGAAAGACGGGAACAACACTTGGAGTAGATGGGGGAAAATACTTCTCCCTGTGTGGATTTGCTGTAAAACTATGACTGTTGTTTCATCTGTTGTATTTTAGCCTTGAGCGCCTCTGCCCCACTGGTGCCTTTATTACCTCTGGGAAATTATTATCTACCCCAAATATGTGATTTAGTTAAACGTGTTTTGACCTTTTTGAACGTGTGGTCTTTCTCAGCAATGAGTGACTGGCACAGATGGGAAAGCTGATTTACGGCAGTGGAATTGCTGGTCCACAAACAAAAAAACCTGTCTGTAGCTACTAGACTTTTGACAGAAAAGGATATTCCACTTTGCTTCCCCCTCCTGTCCCAGCCCCCACTTCTTCCTACTCTTCAGCTTCTTCAGAATTTTTTTTTTGCTGGTTTCGACTCTCCTAGGTTTTCAAATTTATTCCAGCACTCCCTGCTAGCTTTCATGCACTATAATAACGATCTAATATGTAACTTAAGCTATTTTTGCTTATGAGGAATTAATAAATTCTTGTCATTTTCCCAATGACAAGCTGAGCGAAGAATGGAAGAAGAGATTTTTTTGATAATTTGGTTGATCTTGACAGCTGGACCAGCCTTCCTAATGTGATGAAGAAGGCTGGAGAATGGGCTTATGCTGGTAATGCATACGGCCTTGGATTCTCCCAAGAGATGTGACTATGCAGCTGCAGGCTGTCGAGGACTAGCTTTGTTGCTCCAGATCCATACGGTGTCCTGATGGTATCGTTCTTTTACCTCAAAGGTATTAAGTGATGAAGTGAAGCGGAAACAGTATGATGCTTACGGTACAGCTAGTTTCGATCCTGGTGCAGCAGGTGCTGGACGCCAGTATTGGAGCAGTGGGCCATCAATTGATCCAGAAGAGCTTTTCAGAAAAATCTTTGGAGAGTTTTCGGGATCCCCTTTCGGAGATTTTCAGAGTGTCTTTGACCAGCCGCAGGAGGTATGGCGGAAGTGTGTTTATTTTCTGAGTATGTGAGATGAAAAACATAGAACTACGTGGAACGCTAGTCTGTCACTGACTGCTCTGGGTGTAAGCTTAAGCAAAAAATTTGCTTCTGCAAACATGTGCCCTCATAGGGGTGCTGGTTGACCTCCGACACCAAGAGTCACATCTCTTTAGTAAGCTGTATGCCTCCAGACAGAATATATTTTCTGGACTTCAGCTGCTTCATCTCATGTTTTCTGTCACCGCTTGGTGCTTCCAAACTATTTTCATCACTGTAATAGGCTTCCTCTGTAACTTGATTTACATATGTGTCTGTTTTGGACTTTGCTTTAATGCTGGAAGCCACAGAATAACTTTTAACTCTAAAACAAGTCTTCCAGCTTTTGATTTGACTGCTTAATTGGTTTAACTTTGTAATGAAGCCAATAGTAAGTGTGAGAAATTGGCTTTGTTTTTCCTTTGTACTGCAGCTAAATGCACTCTTCGATATTTATGCTCTTGATTTGTGCACTGTCTTCAGAAATATATCTTGTATTCAGGACTTCTGGGTTTATTATGAGCAGAATATTCTATTTTGTGGGAAGATACCCAGGAAGTAGTAGAAAATGTTTACTGATTACTCTCCTTGCCAAGTAAAGAGTTTATTGAGGAAGAGCATGTGCTTTCACTGGCATTGAAAGACTTCACACTCGCTGTTGCTGTTTTCCCATTAAATAAGGCCTATAGAAGTAGTAATTTTTTTAAGAGCAGAAAAATGTGTGATTTCTATTTTTACTCTTAACGTATAATATCTGTTGCACAACTGCTACGCGGACTGGTGTAATCATCTTTCCTGTGATGTTTGCTATCCTTTTGTACCCCTTTTTATTTAAGACAGATTACTGCTTCCTAAAATGAGACAGAACCCGTGTGTATCCATCCATTTCTCCTCCCCTCCATTACTTGGATATATTTTAAGCACTGTGTGATATTTGACCTAAAATGACTTCAGTCTACTTAAGATCCCATCACATATCAGTTGTAGATTGATGTTCATGTTTCCTGTACAGTATATCATGGACTTGACATTTACTCAAGCTGCAAAAGGTGTTAACAAGGAGATTGTGGTGAACATCAATGACTCCTGTCAGCGATGTGATGGTAAAGGGCATGAACCTGGTACCAAAGCGCAGCGGTGTCACTACTGCAATGGGACTGGCATGGTAAGTGCTGTTTAAGATGCAGGTTCTTTTGTGTTTTTTGTTGTTGGGGCAAGTTAGTGCTTTCCACGTGGAAAAACGTCTTCTATAATCATCAGCTTACCTTGGGTGAAGCTAGGTTAATAGATGAGGATTGACGTTAATGTGTACTAGGAATATTTTCATTGTTTTGAAAATGTGTTCTGGACAACTGAAAACGATAGCCTTGAAGGGTAGATCATCTGGTATCATACGCCCAATATACCATATCTGTATGATGTAACAATTATGAAATTCTTGGGTAGTAAAGGGGGTACTTTGAAGGGGTGGGAAGGGAAGGAGGAAAGTAATGGCAGTGTAAGGATAACCGTGAAATAACAAGATGCATGTTACTTAGCAGTAAGTAAAGAAGTGATCTGCCTTCAGGCTCTCAACTTCCATGCATCAAAGTGGGTACTGGAAAGCAATCTGTAATCAAAAACCTTTCTGTGCAGAACGAGTGTAGTTGGCCTGTAGAAACTGCAAGGTTTGCCTCATGTACTTCCATCTGACAGATGGTTCTTACAGTTCAGTCCATAGCGGTCTCCATGACTTTTTCCTGAACACTAGCAATAATTCATGCAAGTGGATTGTCTTTGGATTCCTTAAAATACAGATGCTTGTAGATCCGTGTGAGACTGCTCTTTTAAGGAGCTTTGTCCCCACTTGTGCATTAAATTCCTTTAACATCCTAGAGATGAAAAGCATTGTGTTTCCCTTCCCCTTGTCATGAGATACGTGCTCGTGCAGTGATGGGTTTTAGTGGTAATGAAAGTTGAATTTTCTGAAATTCAAAAAATGAATAGGAACAAACCAAAAAAATCCCAATTTGACAGTGCTGTAATGCTGAGGCTCTGGAGGAAAAAATGTTGACTTTATGGGGAAAGAGAAGGGGTAGGAGAAAAACATGTTTTAGGGAAACATGAGTTCATCGTGTGTCAGAACTCCAGGGAACTTAACGAGGGGACAAACTTTTTTTTCTTGCTTTGTGAATGTCTTATTCTCTTCTAGTTATAAGCTGTATTTTAAAAGAGCTTGCTGACTGCTGTCTTTGCCGATAAATCCAGTTAGAGAAATTGGTCCAAACAATGCTTTGTTTACCGTTTCAAGCTTTACTGATGTGTATTTTAATTCTACTTCAAAGTAATTAAATCATAGCTGTTGGAATGGAGTTCTACAGTCAGCCCCCTTTATGCTCACGACAGTGTTAGACTAGTTAAAATAACTGGACCAAAGCCACGAACATGCTTGTTTCTGATCTTTGCAGGGTCTTGGATCTTAATTTTTAAATCTAAAGATGTATATAGAATCCCACAAATGTAGGCTGGAAAGAGACTTCAGAAGCTAATGTAGGCAAGCAATAAGGCATGATCTTCGTTGCTTTTGGACTGGTACTAGATTCTGAAAGTGTCATCCTCCGAACAGCTGAGTTCTAAGTGAAGGCTCTCCATTTAAGCTGCATGAGTGAAAAATAAACTTTCTGAGCTTCACTCTGTGTTAGAGCTGAGACAGAGTTGCATACTGAGTGACATCTTTCTAACAAAGCATGAAGTTCACCTTAAAATGGGTAATCTGTGAGTATTAGAGATTACAATCAGGTTGGAGGGACTGGCACTGTCCGATGCTTGGACATACAATAGAAACGGTAGGCAGGTGTAGTCTGAGAGTATAGCGTCTGTTCCAGCCTCTGATAAGCAGCATCCTCATAGGATTTCTGAGCCAGTTTTCTGTTCCAGCCCTTACTAAAAGATATCATTATCCTTGAACCCTGCCATGCTGTGTGTGCAATTAGAAGGACTCGCATGTGCTGGGCCACTGCAAGGGTTGTTGTGGAAATGAAGACACAAGTAGCTGCCTGATACCAAATGTTTATACAATCTGGGTTTTCTTCACTAGGAGACGATAAATACGGGCCCTTTTGTGATGCGATCTACGTGCAGACGATGTGGTGGTCGTGGTTCCATCGTAACAACACCGTGTGTGGTATGTCGAGGAACAGGGCAAACCAAACAGAAGAAGACAGTGATGGTTCCTGTGCCAGCTGGTTAGTGTTGTATTTGTGTGCCGCTGTCTGTTAAAGCGGCTATAGTTATTTATTTTCGCTAAGCTAACAGCCAGGCACTTGTGTCTAGAGCGCCGCTGCTCCCTGACAAATGTCAGAGCAGCATAAAGAAGCTTTGTTGCAGAGCAGTTATCTTAAGAACAAAGAGGACTGATAGCTTGCAAGGGGATTGAAAGGATTAGTAATAAGATGTGCTTTCTGGTGATGGGTTCATATCTGGTAGATAAAAATATGTTTGCCCTTTTTGAGACGAGTTTTTGGATTTTGGATGGATTCTTCTAGACAGGTGTTGAAGAGCGGAACTCTCAAAAGGTCTTGTTGACTTGACTCTTTCATTGCTCCTTAAGGAAAGTTGGAGGGGGAATTCTGAAAGCCTTAATTTGGCTCACAGAAAGCGTATTCATTGCCTTTCTCAGCAAAGAAGATAAAATGGGTAGTGGGGCTGAAAATTTGCTTCTTCGAGACCATCCTGGGTTCCTGAGGCTTGTGGAGGCTGTCCAGTGTTCCTTAGTTCCTTATTTCCCCCAAAGAATTTGGTAGGGATTGAGGTATAATGAGCCTGTGTAGGGGTGATCATCTGCCTGGCACCTTAGTGATCAGGTCTGAGCTGTAAATGTGTGCTGACACCTCCTTCCTTTGGCCGCAGCTCCTGGGCTCCTGTGGAGAGTGTTACTGTGCTTCCCACTGGTAGGTCTTGTGGCTTGCGCTCCTGGAGGTGTGGGTGTTGCTATGGTGGCAGGCTTTTGGGGATGGCAAGAGGTCTGAACAGAAAGGCTGTAGGTATTTAAGTAGTACATGGAGTATAACACCAGGTAGAATAGGTTAACGTTCCTGTTTTTTTATCTAACTGCAGGTGTTGAGGATGGGCAGACAGTTCGAATGCCTGTGGGAAAGAAAGAAATTTTCATTACGTTCAGGGTATGTATCATTATATGTCATGAGCTGCTTTTATTATTTAAGTTGGTTGCTTGTTCCCTTCACAATTGCCTGGGAAGTCTGGGTGAGTGGGGAACAGGAGGGGAAAGTGCAAGTGATCCTTTCAAACAGCTGAAGTAATATGATCCACGTGAACTTTCTGAGATAGCAGAAGATCTGCATTGTAACAAGTGGTGGAATGTTAAGTCTGTTCATAAAGAATTGGACTGTGTGTTCTGGGATGAGGGCTTTATGGTAATAGGCATCAAAATGCAGAGAGGGTTTTTGATGCCCTCCATCTTTGAATTGGAAACTTGAGGAGCTGTCTCCTTGCACTGATGTGAGTACTGAGGAGAGCTGCAGTGTTATAAATGTTTTCT